TTAGGGATGCTATGGTCCTGTGATTCCCCTCGGAATCAACCTCTTTTAGTGATGTTGTCCGTCTCTGCTCTCAGAACTGCTCTTCACACCTCCTCTTGTATAACATAGTTAGGACAGAAAAAGGCAAAATCTGCAATAAGACAATCCTTACATCTTCACCTGTCTTTCCGTTCTTAGGTGTAGTTTGAAGTCTTTTAGCAATAGCATCAAAGAGAAGGTAAAGCGTGTGTGGAGAAGCAGCCAGAACTCTGTGTGAGGTCCTTGGGGACTCGTAAACAACTTGGCCACATGATGGACATCTATGTAGCACCCAGATTACGACTCGAGAATTGAAGATTTGATGCCCCTTCTTTGGAATGCCCTGCAGTGATGAAGAATTCAGGTATTAATACCCTCCAGCCTGCGTTGAGGCCAGCTTTCTCAGATGCACATTGCATTTCTAGAACAACCTGTCTTCACTGGAGCGTCTTCTGGAGATTATCCCTGTAATTGAGGGCATCTTGAAAGCTTGCTTCAACTTTGCAGAATTCGACAGTGGAGGGTCCACTGAAATTGCTCCATGTTTATGTCTTGCACAGTTCTGATATTTTTTTCTCTTCTGCTTCTCCATGGGCTTTAAGCCTAATAGCATCTGATACTCGTTATATCTCACACAATACACTTCATGTTATCATCTCATTCCTGCAGAGACTGACATGTGACAACCTTGAAGAAAGTGGAGATCAAAGACGAATGCCAGGTACAGCTGCAGAGTGACTCACATGAGCATGTCACGCACAACAGTCTCAACACTTGGAAGCTGTGGAGAGCATGGAAGGTGACCGGATAAGATGAGTCCACTAGCAAGAAATTTGAAATGTTTGTCCAAACACCAGTTAACCTTCTCATGGATGTCATTAACCAGAGCCCTGAGATCTATGTGTTAAATTTGTGTCTTGGTTTATTCAGGGGCAAGTGCAGACACCGTGTAGAAGACTACAATAGATCCTGTCTTGCCCAGAGAACTTTTTTCTCTAGTCTGACTATAATTCCTCAAGGGTGGTTCCATACCCCTTACCTCACAGCCAGATGCTTATGACCAGGCCTGTATTCCTTGCTACAAGGAGGCTGTCTTCTCTCATGCGGCATCTTCCCAATAAGTTTATCTATTTTGTAAAATGAGTTTTTGGTTTAGGTTCACTGCTCCAAACTGGGCACGGAAGGGACACAATTCAGATTAAGTGCTCATTACAGGTTTGGACAAGGGATCTGGAGCTCCAGAGGACATGCCATATGGGGAACAGAATTGGGATCTTCGGGTGATTTGTCAAGGGTATGGTCTTGGAGCTTGTAAACACATTTTCTCTACATTCTTGTTCATTGATTTTACCTCAAGCTAGAATTAGCTATTATACTTTCCTGATACTTCTTATGCGCATGTCTGTATATTCATGTTTTATAATTAAAAGAGTTTTGGAAGCAATTACTAGCATTCATCTTTGCTGAGATTCCTGGTAAAAAGCAGCACATTACTGTGCTATTTGAATTTGTATTTCTTTAGTTGCTGATAAAATGAAACATTATTTTCCACATATTTATTGACATTTCCCCTCTTATTGAGAGTTTACCAATATTCAATGTGCTGGACACTACAGACAAGTTAACTAGTTAACAAACATGATACCATGGGGCTTTTGTTTTCTCTATACTTTTGAACACAAAGGTTTAAATCATCTGAAGATGTTTTCAAGTTAATATGAGAGAGGTTCTGTCTTTCTCCCAGCTCTGAGGATTCTAGTCTCCTGATCACATAGAGATCATCTCAGAAGCGGAAAATCAGTGTGTATGGATGGCATGTGATAGTTAATAAACAGAAGATGAGGGCAGTGTAAAATGCTCAGACAGTATACAGAGAAGGAAGCAAAAGAGAGTGTGGGTCAGAGGTACAGTGAGGGGAACTTCTGACCAGTTCTCTCCGGTCGACCGTGTGTTTCTTCTGTGGATGTGTTTTGTTAACTGAAGTCAGTTACTTTCTTTTCCTGCTATGATATGAAGTGGTAAAACAGAAATTATTATTATTATTATTATTATTGCCAACTAAAAATCTCTGCTCATTTTCTTGTTTCCCAAATGCCTTGCATAAAGTTCTTTTAGGTATCAACTTCACCACTTTTCTTCTTTTAACATTTAAAGAAGCTAAATCCACAGTGAACTTGGAATTCTTTCAAGACTCTGGGGACGATTGACAGTGGCGTATTGCCTAGTGTCTGGAGTCCTTACACTGTCTGATTCCTTTCCTTCTTTATCCATGTACCCAGAGATGGAGAAATCTGTACCATTTAACATACAGCTTTGTTACTGAAGTAATGTGAGATTTGAATGTTCAGGTGGGCTTTTGATATGAAGATCTCACTCTATGTTATGGGTGGGATAAGCTCATTAGATGGAAAAATATTTTTCTAGTTATGATGACAGTGAAGATAGATTTAAGTGGCCTTTAAAATATTACTTTCCTAAATGCATAGAAGATGTTTGTCAAACTGCTATTACTCATACTCAGAATATAGTTAGTAAGGAGAGAACAAATCATTTGCATATTAGAAAGATTATAAATCAGTGGGTGGCATATTCTGATCATGTAATGTGTATTTATTTATGGCGTTCCAGCATTCATTCCCATTCCTAGTCACCACCTTGGCTTTTCTTTGGATGACTTGACTCTTTCTTATTCTGTGTGTCCTTTCAAACATTCTACTGAGGTCTATAGGAAAAACAGCACATCACTTTCCACCAAATAACGTCACTTTCTATATAGCAGAACAAGTTTCAAGGCAAAATAATCTTTGAACTGGTGATTTTCTCTCATACTTCTATTTATAATATTCTTTTAAAAATCATCACTGACCATACATTGTCTTGACTGTACGGCTCACAAATGAAACTATCCATAGTTTGGGAAAGCTTCATTGTTAGGTCCCAAAGAGACCCAGGACAAACGGCTAAGGGAGATGCCTATTAACACATCAAGTGGACACTGGCCACCAGTCTCCCTCACCCTACTCCCTATTCAAAGCCTCTCTAGCCCCAGAGTCCTGCTTCCTTTTCTCCAGCTTCTGATTCCTATATAGCTCAGTCATTTTGGTTATATGCTCTCTTGGTTCTGGGCTCTTTTGGAGCAATTGACCTCGTGGTTCTTCCTCTCTCCTGGTCCCCTCTCTTCTTCTCTTTTCTCATCCTCTCTTGCTCTCCCTCACTATACTGTCATGGCCTGGTTTATTCTGATAGCCATGTTCAGTTAGGATTCTGCTAGATGCCTCTTGCTGTTCAATCCCTTATATCTACAATAAAGACCTTCTCCTGAAACATGCCCAGGAGTGGTCATATCTCATTTTCATTCTTTCACCTCATTTAATATGCTTTGAATATGGTTGAACTGAACTTGAAAATTTTCCTACAGAGACCTACTTGGAGGTGCTAGGTGACCCAGTCAAAGCCAGGAAGATGGAGGAAAAGTCGTGGTGAAACATGAAAATATGAGTTTTATAAAACACAAAGATATTTTCCTACTATTAAAGTAGAGGACATCAGGATAGTCATGATGGGAAGTTGAGGGTTAGGTTTCGTGTTAGCAGAGCATAGTGAATCTTAGATAGAACCAAAGCTGGGGTGTTATGATTGGAGTACCAATGTCAAGTCATTCTCTCCTCCAGAAGTCTATACGGGTCAGTTATGTAAGGCAGTAGTTCCCTACATTGTGAAGAAATCTCAGGACGAAAATGTTGAATGCTACTTTATAATTTTATCCTCTACTTTCCATTTCATTATAGAAAGGATATGATTTTCAAGGATCTAAGTTAGGACTGGGAATTATTCACAGGAAGTTGGATAAATGATACATTTGAGCTCATTGCTTGCTTCAGTGAAGTCTGGATGAAAATTCAGCCCTCCAACACTGGCAGCTTCTGTGGAGTATGCGTTCGCAATGACTCACTCCTGAGAAGCAAGAGCTTTGCTGGCAAGATGGGGTCATGCCTGCTTGGAATGAAGGTGATAGTGCATGCACCATCCATCATGGACCATTCAGGGGGACTCTGTCAGTGCTTCTGAAGCGTAGGCGAAGTAACCGAGGAAACACAGATGCAATCCTTCAACCTGAAGAAAGATAATGGCTAGTGGTATGGAGGAATACATACCACAGCCACAGTACAGCTTTTTTTAAACAAGTGTGCTGGTCTATGTCGAAGGCATGGCCTGAAATTGTTACTGCACCTTTAAAGTTGAGGGCACTAAGAAGTTAGACAAAAGATGCCTTGCTTTGCATGGGCAGGTGAAAGAACTAAATCTAAATGTACCTTGTTCTCTAAGTTCCACAGCCCATGAAAATATGGAAGCCGAACAAATGACTACAGGCGAAGTGTGGATGAGTGCTCTCCTTCAGGCAGGACATAGCCATAGGAACCTTGAAATCATAGCAGTTGTGACTACTAATGTGAGACCCTTAACAGCTTAGGCTCATTGACACACCTTTGTTGAAGGTGAGAAGGGCACATGAGGGTTAACAATTATTGGGGGGGATGTTTCTCAGTGATGTAGTTTCTCATAAGATGCTCATATTTTTATAAATAAGACTCCTACTTATACTCCTTTTGAAGCCCAAATAAGCTCATTGATCCACCTCACTAAATTTGTTTTTATAGTGCTGGTACTTTATGTATGCTAGGCTAAAGCTACACTACACAAGTCCAGCAAGCTACACTTGAAAGGAGTTAATTCTTTTTTCTCTTGTTGCCTTCCCTATTTGGATGAATGGGAATAGACTCCCCAGGCAAAGGTCATACTTGTAGAGATGATTATTTTTACTCTGTACATCAGAGGGGACCTTGTAGAAATTAGACATGACAGATAGAGGTTTGACTGCTACCAAGTCAGAAATGAGCTAAACTTAAGCATTTAAGATGTGCGATGAAAGGTCACATTGAGAATGAATACTGTGAGGCATCGTTTCCAGAACTAATTCATACCATTCACTTAAGTTTGGATTTTAATAACCTCTTCAGTTGTATCACTTCAAGAACAGTGCAGTCACTTCAGAACTCCTACAGGGGAAGTCAGAGAAGACACTGAAACTAGACTGATGGTAAAAGTTCTGTTTTGCTTCGTCCTCTTTTTGAGATGTTTGCAGGCTCTTTAGATGACTGTAATAGTTACTTTGCTCATTGATGTGCCAAAATTACCTTCGAGAATTACCTTCAGGAAGGAGCGTCGTTTTTGGCTCCTGATTTAAGATGGGAAATGGTCCATCCTGGCAGAAAGTATGGTAGTGGGAGAACCAGCTGGTCACATTTTGTCAGCAGTCATGACGGAAGCAGAGAGACAGTTGATATGGGCGTTCACCTTGCATTCTCTTGCTTTCCTTTTTAGTTACTCTGAGAAGCAGATCTATAGGATGACGTAACTCAGCTTCAGGGTGGATTTTCCCTCCTCAATTAAATTTTTATGGAAGTGCTTTCACAGACATGTCTAATGGGTGATTCTTCGTCCAACTGAGTTGACAGTGAAGACTGACCCTCACAGTTGTCATCTGAAAAATGGACTTAATGTCAATGCCTGATTTTTTAAAAAATAATTTCCTTGTTGTTATAATTATAGTTAGATTGAAAATTAAAGCAAATATATTGAAAATATAAAAGAGTAGATACATATATGAAACTCATATATTTATGTATATATACATACACACATATAAATATATAAATATATAAATATATATATATATATATATATATTTGTTTGAAGAAACCAAGCACTGGCAGTGTATAAAGAAAGAAATGCTGAAGGACTGAGTACTAGACACAGTATTAAGAAGCATGATAACCCTGAGCATCCACTAGGTTATGGTAATAGATCAGTACTTCCTGAGTTTACGGTAAGGCTTCCTCACTCAAAGGATGACAAGATGAGCTACAAAGTTACTCAAATACTATGATATTATAACATGTTCATATTAAATTGTTTTACTTAAAAAATTAAACCTGGAAACAAATACTTTTTAAAAATTTTTTGGGCATGTGTATGTTTGTTACTGTGTGAGTATATGTTAATTTGCATGTGTATATGTCTGTGGAGGCTACATGGGTCAGATCCTATAGAACTAGAATCAGAGGTAGTTGTGAGCCACTCAACATTGGCTCTGGAAACCAAACTTGTATCATTTTTGAAAGTAGTAGCTTCTCTGAATCTCTGAGCCATCCCTCTAGCCCCAGACCTAAGGTTTTGGAAGCCACACAGTCTAACATGAACACTGTGTTGGTTTAAAAGATATTGGCCTCCTAGGCCCAAATATTTGACTACTTGCCTCCCCCACCCCTTGGTGGAACTGTTGGGGAAGGATTAGGAGGTGTGGCTTTGTTGGAGGAGTTGAATTACCAGGGGTGAGCTTTGAGGTTTAAAAAGTCAATTCTGCTTCCCAGTTAGCTCTCTCTGTTTTGTACTTGTGGTTCAGATGGAAGCTCTCAGATACTGCTCTTGTACCATGCCTGCTTGCCTGCTGCCAAGCTTCCCATCCTGATGGTCATGGACTCTAATTCTTTGGAACTGCAAGTCCCAAGTTAAATGTTTTCTTTAGAAATTGTCTTGTTCATGGTGTCTCATCATAGCAATCAAAAAGTATCTAAGACATATATGCTATGCTATTTCCGTATACAGGGGACTGGAGTCAGTTTCTTAGTGTAGACATTTTACTACAAATCTAATACTTAATTTTCTATCATTAAAATGTACTCAATGCACAGTCTCATCATGTTTTTCAGCCCTAGGGCACAGAACACAGAAATGACCTTAGTGGTCACTAATCCAGTCTCATCTTTTTCAGACAAATGCCCTACCATATGTGCAGCGAAGGCAATGGAGTTGTCAAAAGGTAGGATTAAACATTTTGAGAAAGTGAGAAGAGAATTGCTGTTTATGTCATTGTGTTCCCAAACTGATATATTTTTCTCATCGATTCTTGTTATTCTCAAGAAAATCTATTTCCTAACTACAGCAGCTGTGAGTGTTTAGTCACTCAAGCCTAAGTGCAAACTCTATTCTACTGTCAGAGACGAAACACGCAAGGAAAAACACAGGATGAGCTGGCTTCTGGGTGGACTAGAGGGGGCAACCAGCTGTAGTGCCAGAGAGGAAATTCCAATAAAAAGCTGCTAATTTTGAAACACTTTTAGTCTCAGAATAATATCTTAGGCATAATTACAGAACCACTTTAATATTTTTCTTCCATGATGAATGTATGTGTGTGTGAGACTGTTGAGGTATATGTCAATTTTCTTTCATGATGCATGTACATGTGTGTGGTTGGTGAGGTACATGCCATGATTTGAGTGTGATGATCAAAGAACAACTTTGTAGAATCAATTCTGCTTTCCAAAATCTTTAGATGAGTTCTAGGGATTAAACTCAGCAGCTCCTCATCTGAGTCAAAGAATCATACACACTCACACACACACACCATTCGTGCACAAATACACACAACACAGACACACATGATCACATACATAGACACATCACACACTCATGTGCATAAACATACACGTTACATAACATACACATAAACATACTCACATGCATTTATGTTGTAAAATATAGTGATTTTTTTCTACGAAAATCCTCAATAGTGCAAATTGAAGAGTGCAAAGAAAGCAATCCCTGTGTCATCCTGCACAAATAAGAATCTGTCTGTCTCTTACTTAGGTAGGGATCTGGAGGTTTCATCTTTGGGATAATTGAACCAAGAGTCTTCGGGTGAGAGACAGAGAGCAAATATAAAATGTCAAGCTGTCGTTATCTTACTGCAAAGAGACTCTTCCATGAAAACCCGCATTCTGAATGGTGAGACCATCTACCTCTCTTTTAGGTTTGCATTTACGCTCCTTGGTACAACACTGCTGAGCAAGTAAAGTTTACTCAGTGTATTCTGTAATACCAGCACTTGGGAGGAAGAGGCAGGGGGATCTCTGTGAGTTTGAGGCCAGCCCTGGTCTACAGAATGAGTGCCAGGACAGGTACCAAAACTACATAGAGAAACCCTGTCTCGAAAAACCAAAACCGGAAAAAAAAAAGGCTTTGTACAACTTCTGTGGTAAGTTACCAACCCTTGGGGGGGAAACCTCAACAAATTCTCTGGATTCCACTAAAAGAAAATGCGCTCATTCATGTGGAATTTCTAAAATGTCCACTACCCTCAAACAATGAAAAAATGAAAGCAATTGTGAAACATTTGAGATAGCCTACATAATGAAATAAAAAGCTTAGCGTAAAGAGATAGGGAGTGGAATTAAAGGAAATTAGAAACAACTCAAAGGTTGGAAGAAACTTTTAAAAAAGATAATACTCTGTGGCACATGGCAAGTAGCTAGAGAATCCTTAAGTATTAAAAAAAATATATATATATGATAACATATATTAAAATGGTAGAGTTAGAAAAGTCTCCAAGAAAAAAATCCTAAAACAAGTGTGTTATATATTCAGGAAAACAAACTTAGAGAATAAACACTGAGATATTCAATACAAAAATTATTAATAAAAATTGAAGAGGAGGCAGAGTCTATGAAGTGATTCAGGAATTCAAAAATATTTTCAGATTCAAAGGTTTTCCTGCCCATTCTATGGTATCTCATCTTAAAATTGCATAGATTTATCCAGACCATTAGTTAAGCTAGTAAAAGTGTACAGAATGCCCACAAAATCCAGGTCTTCCAGTAGAGTAGGAGCCCAATTAATGCATGTCTGTCCTTGCATCCAGTAAGCTAGAGAGATGGAAATGATCAATCCCACTCAAAGGTGCAAACCATCCTTGGGATGGCCATGTGGAATGAGACAGTACAGTGTGCTAGAATGGCTGTCTTAGAGTCCTGATCAAAGAGATCAGGAACATTTTGTCTAAGAGGTAATGTTTCACCTTTGACATGAAGGAGATTAGACCAGATGCAACTAAAGACAGCCAGGATGAGTGTTCCCACAGAGGGAGCCGAATGAGGGAGTGACACACTCATAGAGGTCCAGTGTGAACAAAACAGGGAGGACAAGGGCAGGCTAGTTGAGTACAGAAGTTTTAGAGATCTTACAATTTGTCTTTTTCCCAATGGATACTTAGATAGAAGTCATTAAAAGGCTTAAGTTGTGACTGGCAGTGAATAAAATCTATGTTATTGTGATTATCACTGACCACAATGGGGAATGCTGCTAACTCTAATAGAAGGTTCACAAGGCTGTCTAGTAAAGACTATGGGTAATAAGTGTGAGGAGACAAGCTGAAGGAAAGGGGGAGTATTTAAGCATACCTAGTATTTTATTAAAAGTATGAATATTTATATGTTTTAAGTGGGTTACAAAGGTTATTCTGACTTACAAAAGTAAAGAGTAGGAAAAATAAATTAAGAACATCAGGAATGTGAAAGAAAACGTACCTAAATAGGCGTAGCCAGTATCTCAATAGTTTAGCAGTAAAGGTTAGGTACAACTCTGTTGAGTAAGTGGTAAAATCTACATACAAGGTAATTTTTAAGGGAAGTGAAAAAGACCATTTTCTTCCATGGTTTATGACCTCTGGAGCTCTAACGTAGACTGGTGGCTGCTGGGAAGTACAGTAGGAGGATGTGAGAACAGTAGCAACTTTTAATCACATCTTGAAATGGACCAATCAGTTCTTTTGTGGTTTTTAAGAATAACCTCAATCATCATTTCAGGGTCCTTTCTTATTTTCTGTCCCAGTGAATGACACCTTGAACCTCCCCTGGGGACTCAAAGGACAAAAAATAAAAAAAACCCTGTTATCCACAGAACTTCTGCATTAAAAGCTTTTAAGGAAGTGTTATATATATATACATACATATATATATATACATATATATATGTATATATATGTTTAAATTTTTCTATAATTTCAGCAAGACTATAAAGGAAATGTATATGTGAATGATGCGACACCAACACATGTATGTGTACATAATGCAATGCCAATAGTGGATGTTTTTCTAATTGCATATTTTCATTTAGATTCATTATCACTGTATGATTATATTGAAATATTTAATTCCAAAGATTTTTCTAACAATTGAATCACATCTTTCAACATTCTTAGGTAGATTGAAATTTACTTATTCATTATGCTACTTATTGGTCCTCATATTTATGTCTCTAATTTAAATTGTGCTCTGTAATTAGGAAGGTAGCCTATATGCTTAAAAGAAAACAGTACAGATATAAATCTGAATTTCAGTGAAATTTCTATGCCTTTGATCTTTTCCTTCCTTGTTTTTTTTTTTTTCATCTCCTCTTTCTCCCCTCCTCTTGTTCCTCCTCCTCCTCTTCTTCTTGGAAAATTTTATTAAGTTTAAGAGAATAACACTATGGCCATAGGACATAAAGTTAAGTTGTAAATCCTAGGTACTGCTCAGAGGAGAAGGAAAAGAAAAAACACCGGTGAGTTAAGCAGTCCTATAGGCTTGGTTTTAGGCAGCCACATGGCAGGGAAGGGAGCTATAAAGAGAGTCAAGCTGAAATTGTTAGGGGAAGTGTGCTTGAAAAGACAGAAAAAGAAGTAGAAAAGAAAAAAAATTACTCTAATGAAAAAATTGGGCCAACTTACAAAGCAGGTTGGGCACACTGAAGCACTGCACTGGCAGGCCGGAATTCTGTGAAGGAAAAGTACATTATCTCATTAGGGAGCTACTCATCCTGTCTGCCTCTTTAGCATGGATTAAGATGAACAGGTCTTCCCGTGGGTGGTTCTGCCTTTATGAGAGGTAACCCTTGGCTTAGTCACAATGTGTCTAAATGGAATCTCTTAATGGAGAACTCTCTTAATGGCATGTCTCCACCTAGAGAAATATTTTGTTCTCTAAAACATTCCCCCTTCTGAAGAGGTAACCTGAAAATTACGGGTTGGGGCTGTTCTGAAGCTGGATAATAGGTAGAACCCACCTTTACCATGGAAAAAAATGTAGAGATCCCATCCAAAATGGCTCATCAGAAGGAATCAATGCTGGCGCTGGAGTTCTAATACCTAACCTCACATGTTTTCTTCAATTATGGCTGTACATTCAAAAGGAGAGGAGAAATGATAGCTCCCTTCAACCACTGCCTGCCAGAGAACTAAGGATATTCTTGGACCTGTTATGTTTGGGATCTTTGTATTGAGCTGCCTCTTCAGGTTTTATCTTTCATTTTTCAATATTACTCCTTGCAGTGGCTTTATCCAAAAGACCCCAAAAATGCACCAGTGATTTAATTTGTATGATTTCCAAATGAGAGGAGGAAAGGAAGTCTTTGACTAATGCCTGAAAAGGGATATGTGTGAGAAGTAACGGGAAAAATTATTAGAATTATGGGTTCCAGACAGGGTCCCAGGAAAAGTGAGAACAGGGTACTTTGAAAATTTCCTAACCAAAGTCCATTAGAATCTTTTGTCTTTCAATGAACTTACAAAAGCATCCTTCTATTGGGTTCCTTTTATTTTTTTCTTTGCTCTCCAAAGCTGGACTAAGGAGCACTCTGAGAACTGTAGAATTAGCTAGAATCACAGTGAGAGAACCTATTCCAATAGCTTCCAGAGAGGGAAAGATGGAAAAACCTTAGCCATCTTTCGGTTCTTTGGTTGAAACAGTAGTGGGTCTTTCTGCCCTGGCTGTAGGTAAGTCCTGCTGTGTTAAAACTGAGTCAAGGTCATGATGTCCTATACCTGGGAAGACTTTTTCTCATTGTCTTAGTTATGTTATACTGTTGTGCTGAGGCACCTTGACCAAGGTAACTTATAAAGTAAAATATTTAATTGGGAGCAGGTAGGTATAGCGTTGGAGCAACATGAGGTCTGGTACGGGCTTTTGAAACCTCAAAACCCAGCCCCAATGATACATCTCCTCTAACTAGGCCATACCTCCCAATCCTTTGTAAGCAATTCACCAACAGGGAACAAAACCTTCAAATATATGAGCCTATGGGGGGCATTCTCCTTCAAACCACACATTCATCAAGAACAAAATTATTAGTGAAAAATAGTTGTCTAACCAGCATCTCATCTGGATGTGATCTCACAATGTCTGGGGAATACGATCCCTTGAACGATTTGAAATGTACCATCATTTTAGTCTTTGTTTATACTTTGCTGTTAAGTGTTTAAGACTATGCAGTAGGCGAGATGAACCACTTTCTTTTTGTTGTCGTTGCTAGTAGAGGCTCTGGTCCTCACTTTGGCTTAGGAAATCTCTGGTCCTTTTAACCTTTTTTCTTTTCTTTGTAACCAGAGGTTCCATCTTTGTGAGGCTACATGAGAAGACTTGCTTGCTGTGTCTTTGTTTTAGAAGCACTGAGAGCGTGTTCCTCCATTTGTGCTGGCCCTTCCTTTTCATAGTCTAGCCAGTGGGAGGTCCATGACCTCCCTAAAAATGACAAGGGACTCACCAGGCCTTATAATATTTTGAAAAGTATCCCACATTTTTCTGGCTTCCAAGTAAGGCTGTTGAACACCCAGAAGGATACTTATACCACTCTGCTATTTTTGACCATTGTCAAGTAGTCAAATAAAGCTTGAGCAAATCCAAATACTTTCAAACAAATTCTGATTGGCCATACATGTCTACTCTTTTACCATAGTATTTTTAACTATTGCCAAGATAGGATCAATGACTTTGGAGAACTCCATGGATTTAAGTAGAAGTTTGATATCGATGTTTTGGACTTTGACCTTGGGAAACTCAAAATCCTAATGATCATCTGCAAGTCTCATCGTTCACATATCTTACAGAGCTTGCCTTTATAAGTTACTCGGCTTGCCAACTTTTTATCTGTGTTCCGCAATAGCATCCAGCGATCTCAGTTTAAAGACATGGATTCTAATTTATTAAAAATGTGCTTATTTTCGCACCATTTTAACATTTCTGTTTTTCTACGTAGAGTTTCCCTTTGAATGTGTTTCATTTTTTAATACCATAAACCATAGTAGATTAACAAACTGACCATTTGTTGTGAGTACTTGGTGGTAGTGGGGAAATAAACAGTGTCTTCCTTATCTTCATTTGGCCTTAGGCCCCAATTAAAAACAACAACAACAACAAAACCCAAAAAACAAAAAAAACCCCCAAAACCCATGAGTTTACTTTGGGTAAGCAATGGATTTCTCAGGTTGACTAACAGAGTGTGGGTGGGGGCTTACACACAGGTGCACTGGTGACCCAAAAGCTGCCTCACAGGAAATTCCTTACCCAGATTAGAGGATGCCTTTTTCTCAGCATAGGTGATGCCCCCTAAACTTTGTCTCTCTCAGCCTGTGTGCTTTACCTGCTCACTAAAACCAAGAGGCAAGGCCATATGCAGTCAGGGCAGAATTGCACAAAACTGGCTGTGGAGAGTGGCTGAGTGTTCAGTGATTTTACCTATCCCTCCCTTCTACAAAGGAACACCAAGAGTCAACAAACCCAGCTCTGATGATCTCATGCAAGCAGATATACCTGTCTTACGAAGATGGCAGTTGATTGGCTAAGAGAACAGTCCAGCACAACATCTTATTAACAGAATATGGAATCTAAACTATGTATTATGGAAAATGTAGTAAGATTACCTGCATACATGCTGCTGATCATTGTGTGAGGCTCTAGAAATTCTCAGGAAGATCTTATATAAAGCATAGAACATTTTAAAAATTGTGTGTGTGTGTGCATGTATGTGTATTTGTGATACAGTCTAGAGACTAATTAACTGTGCTATACTTTTGATTTTTGAATGAGTAAAAATTGTAGAAAGAGAGAAACATCAGAGAAATAAAGCATCATGAAATTAGTGCTTAGACTATCAACACAGGAACTGCTTTAAAACTGTGATGCCAGGGTTACTATTTAAGAGATTGCCAGTAGCCGTTTTTTATGATGCAAAGAAGTAAATTCCAAGTAAAGCATGAAAAATAACGCTATTTTGCTTTCTGCAACTTTAAGGTCTTTTGGACGGCAAGGACTGGAGCAGTGGCCATTATAGAAAGTTATATTTCTCAGAAGTTGCAGGTACTACGGTTGTGAAAATGAATGCTACAGGGTGCTTAATGTGTTATTAAAAAATCAATGGGAGCAAACTGTGAGAAAATGTCATGGTTGTGTACTAATGACCATCTATATTTAAAATCCTGCAGCTCACTGTTGCTGTAAATGGTAGCCTGCAGGAACACACAAAGCCAGGGATCAAATGAAGGGGAAGGAACTTAAATGTCTACAGTATGTCCTGGCTATTAATTTGATACCTGAACTAGAAAAAAATATTATAATATATTCTATGTCTTAAAAAATAACCGTATTTGGATCAAACAAAATTTACATAAATGATTTTTCTGAGTATTACTTTTATTTTGGCTTGGAAAAGGAAATTTAGGTGTCACGGGAGAAGTCCTGCATGAGAGTAGTGGAGAAAAGATACCTCAGGACTTCCTTGTAACCTTTTATTCACCTTTTAAAAACATCTTAATTGTGTTTCCTGTCAGCTCACATCACCTTGCCCTTGTCTCCCCTCTAGTTCCCAGCTCCACAGTTTTGTCTGTGTGTTGTGCCCTAGCCTCCTGCTTGCTTTCCTTGAATCTGTGTTTCCCCATGACCCTGAAATGAGCACTTTCTCCATGGCTTTCCCAATGTGGCATTTCTCTGCAACTATTTGATGCAGCTCTGCATTCTTAGTACATGCCCTCAAATGATAAATGATCCAGTCCCCGAAAGCCTAGTGTATCCTTCACAGCATTTATCACAGTTTGTCATACATTCATTTGTACAAGTTTTTTCTTTCCTCTTTTTCCATTTTCCATTTGTTATAATGTCATTAGATTTGTTTCCATAATATGTATAAATCTCACAATACATCCTTATTCACTGTTGCTGGGATTGCAAACTGGCACAACCGTTATGGAAATGAGTGTGGAGAATTCTCAGAAAAGACTAAAAACAGATCTATCACATTATCCAGCAACACCACCGCTCAGCATTTACCCAAAGACAGCCCACTCCATAGATACCTTCTCAGCCATGTTCTCTGCTGCTCTGGATACAGCAGCTATGAAATGGAAACAACCTAATTGTCTTTCAACTGATGAGTGAATAATAAAAACACAGCACATATAAACAATTAAATTCGATTCAGTTCAAAGAAAAATGAAATTTGTAGGCAAGTGGATAGAAAACCTTATACTGTATCTGGTAACCCAAGCCCAGAAGGAAAGATGCCACATATTGTCTTCCATTTGTGGATACTAGCTTTGTCAGTGTATAACCTGGAGTCACTGCACAAACCAGGAAAGTAAAAAGGGAACATGGGTGATATGAAGGCATAGAAGGAACTCTAGACAGGAGCATAAGAGGACCCATGGTATATGAAAGGGTAAATCTAAAAACTGTAGGGGGATTAACTTGGGAGTTGGGAGGGAGACCAATACAGTGGGTCAGGCACAGAGATGAAAATCACCGAGAGTGTTGAAAACTCATAGGGAAATATATTTCATGTTTACTTAAAGACACACACTCACAATGAAACAATACCACTTGGGTGATGATGGTACCCCGAAGGTCTGTAAACCATCCAACAAAAGCCCCAGTTCTTGGCATGGAAAGTCTTCCATTGAGTTGTTGGTTAGGGGAGTTGAAGATACCTCTCAAAGAACAAAGACTAT